CAGTCTAATAGAGAAAAGAAAGCTCTATTTTTCTATTCTATGTCATCATACTTTAACTAATATCATGATAATAAATTTTTGATAAGGCTTTTTTCGTCAACATTTTACTCGTTGCACTAGCTCACAATGAGTCAGACGGGTTAGTTTTTTAGTCCACTAATACATTGTATTAACAAGCAAAATATGCCATAATATGCAACGTGAAAAGCTCTACAATTTCCATAAGATCACTTATTTTCTAGTTGCACTTTCTGTTTTCAAAATGGACAAAATTTTGAGTGATCGAACTTTGGCCGTTGTAAAAACTGATCGTATAGAATTTTCCTTTTTTCAAAACAATTACAATATGGTTTACTAGGTAGATTGTAGAGCTTTTCACGCTGCATCTTCTGGTATATTTTGTTTTTCTTTTGATAAAGCATATCAGGTGATAAAATGATCAGATAACAAAAAATGAATTTGTCATGTATCAAAAATATTATCTTTTTCCATGATCGAAATGTGATCGCTCAAAATTTGGCCTATTTTAAAAACAAAAAGTGCAACTAGAAAATAAGTGGTCTTATGGAAATTGTAGAGCTTTTCACGCTGCATCCTATGGCATATTTCGGTTGTTAATACATCTAAGGAATTGAAAACTGCGATGTACAACTTACAACGAGCAAAATGTTAACGAAAAAAGTCTTATCAAAAATTTATTATCATGATATTAGTTAAAGTATGATCAAATGGCATAGAAAAATAGAACTTTCTATAAGGAATTGATATACCTCCGCCACTACTTTTGGACTGACCTAAGTATAATTCTGATAGTCAAACATGCCAGATACAACCTGTATTCGTAGCTTATTCTCCAAATTCCGAACCAATCGATTTCGATTTAGGAATTTTACTCAAAATAGAATTCTGTTTCGCTCAGCATATGCAGAATTTTGTGGGATGTCTTGTTGAAGTAACATTTTTCTAATTATAATGAGCTAGATTTCTGAAATCGAAAGCAAGATTTAAAAAAAAATAAAACTTTTTAGTAATGAAAATGCATTATAATGTAAAAATCGCCTTTTCTTTACGAGGAATTATTCAATCATCGAAAAAAATTCATAGTATATGCAGCTCGATTTACTCTATCGAATTGCTAAAGTATGAAGTGCAAAGCTTTCATTAAAAACATTTTTCGAAAGGCTATACTAACAGTCATATTCTGATGTGAAGATTATTTTACAAAAGTCCTACTTTTTGGCAAGTATCAGTTAATCAAATGTGCTGTTTTATTTCTCTCAGTACATATTCCTTTCAATTAAATGTCTTAGTACAAAAATTCTTTTTTGTAGTGTGCTCTTTACTGCTGCATACCATCTATAGTTTTCTTAGTCCAGCTTACAATTGTTATCACTGATTGAGCTTTTTGTGAAGACAACAATAGAATAAAAAATAAACGATTTGCGTAGTCACAATCATAGCGGTATTTTCTCTTCGGATAAGGATCGATCCAAAAACAAATTTAGGGATCTATAATACATGACTACTGATAGGAACGATGGAGAAAATCTACCACAACCGGGCACGACCATTGCGAATGATAAATCTATCGACAACGTTAAAATATACTGGGATCGCCAACCATGCAATATAAAGCATTCAAATTCTGAATACGGAACTAAGCAATTTTTTGATGAAATAGAGGCTCGGAAATATTTTGTGGAACCACACATAAAAGAATTTGCTGACTATGATAGATGGCGTGATCAGCGTGTGTTAGAGATTGGTTGTGGAATTGGTACGGATGCTCTTAATTTTGTTAGAGCTGGAGCAATCTACACCGGACTGGAATTGAGTACAACTTCATTAGAAATTACCAAGAAGCGGTTTGCCGTCTATGGCTTAACACCTCATGCTTTAATTCAAGGTAATGCTGAGGAACTCGACAAAATATTCGCAGTTATTACAGACCCATCAATGCAATTCGATTTGATTTATTCATTTGGTGTGATACATCACACGCCAGAGCCGAGACGTGTCATTGAACACATAGCGAACTTAAATCTTCTGAAAAAAAGCACCGGAGAGCTTCGAATTATGGTTTATGCTGCTCGGTCCTGGAAAGCTGCTATGATAGAAGCTGGTCTGGATCAACCAGAGGCGCAGAGCGGATGCCCAATCGCTTACACATACACAAATGATACTGTGAAGGAGTTAATGCGGGATCTATTCAAAATACAATCCATTGAACAGGATCATATCTTTCCGTATGTAGTGGAAAAGTATAAAAAATATGAATATGAACTTCAACCATATTTTAAGGCTATGAGTAACGATATGTTTAAAGCGTTGGAAAAAACTCTAGGTTGGCATTTACTAGTTGTTGCCACAACAAAATGAATGTATATACCTGAACGAAAAGCGTCGCGTTATCGTTTAATTTTGCGATGCGACTAATAATGTTACTCTTCCGAAAATTAGTTGATGGGGTGTGGGTGTGACTATTCTGATAAAGTACTCTATTTTAGGTTCCGCGGAGCGCAAATCGTCTCGTAATATTCTTTCAGAAACATTATAAGTTCAGCAGATTTCATAAGGTTTCGCAATTTTGCGACGGAACTCTTTGGGTGTCGGTGTGGGTGGGGTGTGGGTGTGGGTGTGGGGTGTGGTGTGTGGATGTAAGTGTGGGGTTTGTTTGTGGGGTGTGGATATGGGTGTGCATGTGGGTGTGGGTGTGGGTGTGGGCGGGTGTGGGTGGATGTTGGTGTGGGGCGAACAGTGGGCAACCAGGCGAACATGACCTCAAGTTCTTTTTTCCAAAATTTAAATATTGGAATGAATACATCTATGATTAGTCTATCTTACCTTAAAACTAAATTTCCAAAAAACAAGTCGAGCCCTGGAAAAACTCATCGACAAAAAAATTGCTCATAAATCGGTAATCTTACGGAAGCCACTCTTTTGATCAACTTATCAAGGTAGTTTGAAGGGAAAAACTATGCAGAATGAATTGTTGACCCATGAGCTTTACTGTATCAAAAATTGGTTTGATTTGAATTAGATTTTCAATAGAAAAGAAATGATTATTGGGCCCAATGTGGGTTGAAAAAACGGTCATGTCGTATTTTGTGAACGCTACAAAGAATTTTGATCCGATTGAGTCAGTAGTGTCAAACTTGAAAGTTGAATTCAAATATTCAACTATCAGTTCAACTATTCAAGTATTCAACTATTCAACTATTCAACATCTGGAATACCAACAGAATCATCTAACATCGACAGGTATTGTCTGGGATGCCTCAGACATCCCCTAGAATGCCACAAGCATCACCTATGATGCTACAAGCATTACCTATGATGCCATAGGCATCAATGATGCTGCTACAGGTATCACCTATGATGCTACAAGTATCACCTAGGATGCTTCAAGCATCCTCTAGGTTGCTACGAGCATCCTCTAGGTTGATACAAGCATCTTCTAGGATGCTACAGGTTTTGGTTGAGGTGCTTCAGACATTATCTGGAATGCTACAAGAAGTGTGTGAGAAGCCTGAGCTACTATGTAGCAGTGAGTAGGAATAATGGTGTACACAGAGACGTGCATGGGTCGCGGCTCTTCGAGGGGCGCAAAGTGCCCCCACGCCACGACGCTGAAATAAAAGGTGTGTTAGGTGGGGAAACGCGCTTTCCCACTGAATATCCGCAAAACACTTGAGAAGTTAAAATTTGAATAGTTGAATAGTTAATAGTTGAATAGTTGAAATTTCAATTATTCAATAATTGAATACTTGAATACTTGAATTCAAGTTTCAAGTATTACATGTATGGATTGAGTTGAAACTTTCACCGATTATTCTCCCATGTTTGATGTATCGTTGGTCATAGCGTCGTGTTGCATCAGTGAACACAGGCCGAGTGAGAGGTTTTCCAAAAAACCAGGTTTCTGCCCAGCAATCGCTAGTTTTGTGAATATGAAAACATTTTGACGGAAAACTAAGATGATATTCGAAATCAGCTCATCGAGCTGCATCAAATCATATACAGCAGTAAGTGCTTCTGAGAAAAAAACGCGGTTTCTAGGAACCGGCAAGAGTTTGAAAGCCAGCCTTTCCGTATTTTGTAAACGCTACAAAGAGTTTAAGTCCAATTGACCTCAAACTTTTGCTGATTGTTCTTTCATGTCTGGTACATCGTTCACCATAGCGTCATCTCACGCCGATGAGCATAGCCGGTACTACGAGTTTCCCAAAAACCTAGGTTTTTGGCCCTAAATTCCTGTTTTTCACAATAAGACATCGTTTTGATGGAAAGCCAAGGTGATATTCGGAATCAGCTCATCGAGCTACTTCTAACGATATATAATAAAAAGCGTTTTTTTGAAAAAAGTTGTTCACCTTTATGAGGAAAAGGGTTTAGAAAAATGAGTCATGCCGTATTTTTCGAACATTACAAAGAGTTTTTATCTGATTTAGATCAAGTCTTTACAAGTTGTGTACCTTCATGTTAATTTATTGTTGGTTATGTGCGTTGTATCATATCATCGTCCAGATGGTGAGCTACATATCATCCAAAAATCCAGGCTTCCAGTCAAAAATTCCTGGTTTTTCCTCTCATCATTCTTACATCACATAATAATGATAAAAGCAGAAATTAATTGACGGATCATTACAGACCTTCCTTCTTTTTGCGGACGCGAACAAAAATGAAAAAAACGTACACGACCGTACTAGCAAAAAAAAAGATAACTGTAAAGGCTAGTAAACCGGATACAATTTTGATTACATAGTCACAATTAAGGAACTATATAAACGAGTAATTCGTATACCTTTTTATATACACTATACATTATCGTGACTAATAAACAATTGATAAACGATACTTGGAATTGTTATAACTAAGTTGACACTCAAAATCGTAAGTACATTAAATTCTACTTATCGAACCGAAATTTACGTGAACGGTGGATAACCTTACTCTAAATACTTTCTATGAAATTTTTGATAACGAACGCGATAAAAACAATGATTTATTTACTACAAAAATTTTTTCGATATTCGTAGTAGTCAGCGGAATAAATCAATTGTAGCCGAAACAATTCATTATTATGCCTTAAAAGTAGAACAAAATTTTATGAAGTATGGAAAAAATATAATAAAAAGCAAAAAGAACAACACTTTGCTAATATTATTGTTCTCACACAAAAAGATTTTCAGTTACTTCCAATTTCTGAATCTTCGACAAATCTCAAAGCACGAAGTCGATCTTCAATATCTACGGCAACTAGTTCATCATCGACGTCTTCGTATTCTCCTCCTTCATCAACATCTGCTGCTCCACTTTCACCTTTGGCAAAACGACAACGGGATTTCAGTGAAAGCTCATCCCGTCAAAAACGACGACGTTTATGCGATTTAAATTCTGAATTAGATGAATTTGCGTTAGCAAATAATTTAACAATTAATCAAGTTATAGGATATCTTCTATACCAACGAAATTACAACAGTAACAAATTTTTAGCTAGTTTAGGACATCAACTCTATGAAGGTGAATGTATTCAAAATCCAAGTTTACCAAATCTTGATTTAGATGAAGCATTAGCATTGAAATGCCATTTAAATTTAACTCGTGCAGACATGGACTTCGTAAAATGGTTTTCAAATGATTATATTAATGTTCCAAATCGACAATATATTAAAAAGCATACTGATGATTGAATACCATTACTCACAAGTTGTCGCAACAATAAAGGTATTTATGTAAAAGATCGTCGAAAATCAATACAATTCACGATTCAACGCTTGATTGATGTTCTTCATTCAAAAGATAGTGATGTACCAAAGCATCTATCATACCGTGAAAAGGCAGGCCACGATGGCGCTGATTCAATGTCGATATATCGATCAACTGAAAATCCAATGAGTGATCCGAATATTTTCTGTAAAATATTAATACCATTAACATTGAAAGATGAAAAATCATATGAAATCCTATGGCAAAATGAATCACCAACTAGTGCCTTTTATAGTCGACCATTATGGGTGTGGGTGGGTGTGGGTGTGGGTGTGGGTGTGGGTGTGGGTGTGGGTGTGGGTGTGGGTGTGGGTGTGGGTGTGGGTGTGGGTGTGGGTGTGGGTGTGGGTGTGGGTGTGGGTGTG